TAATTGCACATAACATGTAAACATTCACAGTGCAGGGAGGAAAAAGTATGTGAGGCCCTAGCTTAATGACTTCTCCCAGAGCTAATTGGAGCCAGGAGTGAGCCAACCTTGACTCCAATCAGTGTGATGATATTGGATGTGTTACTGACAGCTGTCCTGCCCTTAAAAAACACACACCTGTTTTGGGTTTACTGGTTTCAAGAAGCACTGTCTGATGTGAACCATGCCTCGCAGAAAAGAGCTCTCAGAAGACCTACGATCAAGAATTGTTGACTTGCATGAAGCTGGAAAGGGTTATAAAAGTATCTCCAAAAGCCTTGATGTTCATGTGTCCACGGTAAGACAGACTGTCTACAAATGGAGAAAGTTTAGCACTGTTGCTACTCTCCCTAGGCGTGGTCATCCTGTAAAAATGACTGCAAGAGCACAGCGCAGAATGCTGCATGAGGTAAAGAAGAATCCCAGAGTGTCAGCTAAAGACCTACAGAAATCTCTGGCACATGCTAACATTTTTGTTGACACATCTACAAGATGGAAAACATTAAACAAGAATGGAGTACATGGGAGGACACCACGGAGGAAGCCATTGCTGTCCAAAAAGAATATTGCAGCACGTTTGAAGTTTGCAAAAGCGCACCTGGATGTTCCACAGCACTACTGGCAAAATATCCTGTGGACAGATGAAACCAAGATTGAGTTGTTTGGGAAGAACACACAAAACACTATGTGTGGAGAAAAAAAGGCACAGCACACCAACATCAAAACCTCATCCCCACTGTAAAACATGGCGGAGGGAGCATCATGGTTTGGGGCTGCTTTGCTGCCTCAGGGCCTGGACGGATTGTTGTCATTGATGGGAAAATGAATTCCAGAGTTTATCAAGACATTTTGCAGGAAAACGTACGACCATCTGTCCGCCAACTGAAGCTCCGCAGAGGATGGGTGATGCAACAGGACAATGACCCAAAGCATAAAAGTAATTCAACAAAACAATGGCTGCAACAGCACAGAATACGCCTTCTGGAGTGGCCCAGTCAGAGTCCTGACCTCAACCCGATTGAAATGCTGTGGCATGACCTTAAGAGAGCGATTCACACCAGACATCCCAAGAATATTGCTACACTGAAACAGTTTTGTGAAGAGGAGTGGTCCAAAATGACTCCAGATCGTTGTGCAGGTCTGATCTGCAACTACTGGAAACGTTTGGTTGAGGTTATTGCTGCCAAAGGAAGGTCAACCAGTTATTAAGTCCAAAGGTTCACATACTTTTTCCTCCCTGCACTGTGAATGTTTACATGTTATGTGCAATTAAACCATGGCAACATCTAATGTTTGTGTGTAGTATTATGTTCAGCAGACTGTGTTCTTCTATTGTTGTGACTTAGATGACGTTCAGAGCACATTTTATGCCCAATTCATGCAAAACTCCACGTAATCCCAAGGGGTTCACATACTTTTTCTTGCAACTGTATACTAGTGCCTCCTTCGTATAGTGTCCCCAAAAACACAGTGTTAACAGGATCAACCCTGTTCACTGCCAGCAGTAGCTCCGCTGTTTTTCACGGAAGATTTGTATCAATTAATTGTGGGCTAAAGCAATTTATATGCACAACATGGACATTACAAAAAGAATTAATTGAGATTATATTGGTCCACAGATCCGATTCATCATATCAAAATTTGTGTTGGAAAAATTGCTGTGCAAATACTGTGACAAAAAAATTCAAAACCCACTGTTCTCCAGGGCCTCTGCTTTAATAAATATATAATCCAATAAAATGAAAACCAGATATCCACGCTGACTGCCAAATTGAAGCAGCTAGCACAATAGGTAGTATATAGACCCAATATAACTACCCATATACACAATTCAGTGTTCAGTAAGTATTTGTTGATCCACCACCCTCAAAGAGTGTTCTTGATAGCAGACAGCCAAATAAGTAACAAGAATACCACCACCATCTCCCCCCTTGAGAACGTCCTATTGGGTGAAACTCGTCGGGGAGGAGTTACAGTGCTGACATCATGATGTAGTATTTATTATAAAAACCAAATGTGTACAAATAAAGATAAACACAAATAAACCAGCTTACATTTGAGGCCGCTGCCGACCCGAGATCGTGCAGCGGTGTGGCGTCAGCACTGTATTTCTTCCTGACACGTTTTGTCCAATAGGACGTTCTTAAGGGGAGGAGTTACATTGCTGACTTCACACCACTGCATGATCCCAGGTCGGCAGAGGCCACAAATGTAAACTGGCATATTTGTGTTTATCTTTATTTGTACACGTTTGGTTTTATAATAAATACTACATTATGGAAAGCACTTTTCACTCTTGATGAGCCTTATTTTGCTAGAGCCTGCACTAGAGAGGATGCTCTTTTTACACCAATTGCCGTGACAAGCTATCTGAGACTGGCTGAGGTTTACAGGTGTTTATGCAGCTGATAGTTCAAGTGAGTTTGCAATTCACTGGGAGACAGTGGTGGTATTCTTGTTACTTATTTGGCTGTCTGCTATCAACAACACTCTTTGAGGGTGGTGGATCAAAAAATACTTACTGAACACTGAATTGTGTATATGGACAATGATAATATTCACATGATCATTGTTTTTTTTTCACTTCAATTGATTATTAAGCACTGCACTTATTATTTATTTAATAAATGTATAATTTTGGAGGGTTCAAAGTAATTTTCTAGCAAATTATTTTGTTTTTTCATGTATACAAAAAGTGTCAGAAAAGACTTGGTCTTCAATTGGTTAGAAGAGTAAGTGATGTGTGGCATAAGCTTCTAATGTTGGCCCTGAAATGCCAGGATAGTAGAAGCACCCCCCCCCCCGGAAATTACCCTTTTTGAAAGTAGAAACTCCAAGGTATTTGCTAAGAGGCATGGTGAGTATTTTGAAGATTTGAGTTGCTGCTTTAAGTATTTGGAAATTGAAGAAAGAAAATGTAAGTGAGAAAGTGACAGGAGGAAATATGCCCTTTGAAAACCTAAAGATGGTCAATGGATTTTGGGGACCTGTATGAGGCTAGGCTGCCAAAATGTCTCTCACATGTGGTATCTCCATACTCGGGTGAAGTAGATTTGGGGTGTTATCCGACATATACGCATGGCATGCATGAACAATATATCATTTAAGTAACAACGTTGTGTACAAAAAAAAAATTGTAATTTGCCAAAAATTTGTGGCAAAAATAAAACCTTATATGGACTCAGCATGAATCTCAGTAATTTCCATGGGATGTCCACTTTCCAAAAAGGGGTCCTGGGGTTTTGGGGTTTTTGGTAGTGCCCTGACATTTTAACACCTCAAGAAATGTGATAGGCAGTCAGAAAGTAAAAGCTGTGGAAATTCCAAAATTTATACCATAGTTTGTAGATGCTATAACTTTCACGACAACCAATTAATATACACGTATTGGGATATTTGTTTACCAAACACATGTAGCAGAATACATTTTGGCCAACTTTGTGAATAAATTTGAGTTTATTTGATATTTTTTTTAACTGAAAGTAGAAAATATTATTTTTTTCAAAATGTTTCTATCTTTCTTTGTTTACCTGACAAAAAAAAAAAAAACCCAGTGGTGATCAAATACCACCAAAATCAGCTCTATTTGTGTTGAAAAAAGTACATAACTGGTACAGATTTGCATGACCGTGCAATTACAAGTTGAAATAGTGCAGTGCTGAATAGCAAAAAATGGCCTGGTCAGGAAGGGGGAAAAACATTCCGGGATGAAGTGGTTAAATTAAAGAAGATTTGACCAATAGAGAAAATAGCCTAACAACACTATAGGCTAACAGCCAAAAAGGATAATTACATGAGGGAGAACTTGGCACTGCAAACCAAGAGGTTTATTTATAAATAATTTGCATAGCTATTCACTCAGTAAAAATGCATGTACAATGCTCAGCATAAATGAGTACACCACTTTTAAAAAGTAAAATTTTAATCAATATCACAATGAACACAAGGACAATTTCCAAAATTTAGATAAAACCGAGTTTTATAGAACATCTCTTTAGCTCATTACATGAAAGTGAGGTTAATACTATAATATTTCTCTGAAATAAATATTCAGCAACCCCCCTATACTGGCCTTCAGACAACCCCCCAACCTCAGAAATAAACTAATCAGTAGGAAACTTCCTTCTGATTATAAGGTCACAAATAATGGAAGCAAACCCTGCAATAAAAACGCTGCAAACTGTGCAACCAAATCAATCCATCAAAAAGTGTCAGATACTCAAAAGGGATCTTCAATATTTCTGGATCATACAGCTGCACCTCTAGTAATGTTGTGTACCTTATCCAGTGCAGAAAATGCAGCAAAGGATCTTATGTTGGCGAAACAAGACAGAAGTTGCAAACAAGGACGAATTTGCACAGACATACCATCAAGGAACATAAAGAAGATGACTTCTGCACACCTGTGGGACACCAATTCGCACAACCAGACCACACAATGGGAGACCTCGATATTTTAGTTCTTAAAGGAAATTTCAAATCCATTCAGGAAAGAAAAACTTTTGAACTAAGAATGATAATTCTATTTGACACAAGAGATAACGGCCTGAATTTGGACATGGGATTCTTCAATCATTATCCAACAGTTTTATGACTATCAGCTCAAGCTTGACTCCCTCTGTGATGTGAGTGTTGTCTCTCCGAAAGCTTGTCCTCAAAATTGTATGTTAGTGCAAATAAAAAAAGTATCACGGACCAGTACTCAATTGTTTCTGAACTTTTATTACAAAATCTTCAGTTTTACTCAAATTAGTTGATGCAAAAATGAAAACACCCCACAGCAAAAACTACTACATGTAGTATTTTGTATGACCTCCGTGATTTGTAAGGACAGCACAAAGTTTTCTAGGCATGGAGTGAACAAGTTGGCAACATTGCAACAATATCTTTTTCCATTTCTTCAAGAAAAACCTCTTTTAGAGTCCTGATGCTGGATGGAGACTGATGTTCAACTTGTCTCTTCAGAATTCCCCATAAGTGTTCAATTGGTTTCAGATCAGGAGACATATTTGACCACAGAATCGCTTTCACCCTGTTTTTCTTTAGAAATGCAACAGCGGCCTTAGATGTGTGTTTTGAATCTATGTCATGTTGGAAAAAGTACACGACGACCACGGGTACTGAGTGATGGTAGCATCTTCTCTTTCAATATAGAGCAGTAATCTGTGAATTCATGGTGCACCAATGAAATACCGCTTCCCGACACCAGCAGCACTCATGCATCCACACAGAAGGGCACTGCTACCACCATATTCACTGTAGGCACCCTGCATTTTTCTTTGTACTCCTCACGTATTGAAGCCTTCAGCTCCAAAAACATTTATCTTGGTCTCATGACTCCAGAGTATAGAGTGTCAGTAGTGTTCTTTTTTTCAGCATGGGCCCTGGCAAATTCTAGGTGGGCTTTTTTGTGCATGGGCTTTAGGAGAGGCTTCCTTCGTGGATGACACCCATGCATGCCATTCCTCTGCAGTGTACGCTGTATTGTGTCACAGGAAACAGTCATTCCAGTTTGGCTGTCTACTTCTTTAGCTAACTGCAGTGAACTTGCATGGTGATTTTCTTCAACCCTTCTCATCAGAAGACGGTGTTAACGTCCATGGACAGCCTGGATGTCTCTGTGAGATGGTTGCAGTTCCATCTTTGTAAAATTTTTGTATCACTTTTACAACAATATTTTGCTTGAGGTGATTGTAGCCGTATTAGTGCATTTACGACAGAAACAATTGAGTACTGTCTGTGATACTTTTTTTATTTGCACTAACATACAATTTTGAGGACAAGCTTTTGGGGTATGTCCTTCATCAAAGTCCAAACAGTACTATTACAAATCACAAAGTTTAAGCAGAATGTTAGAAGGGATTGAAAAAAAAAAGGCTACAGATAAGATACATCAAAAGCGAGGGGGGGAGGATACTACACTCACACAGAGGGGGTGTGCAGAAGTCATCTTCTTTATGTTCCTTGATGGTATGTCTGTGCAAATTCATCCTTGTTTGCAACTTCTGTCTTGTTTCGCCAACATAAGATCCTTTGCTGCATTTTCTGCACTGGATAAGGTACACAACATTACTGGAGGTGCAGCTGTATGATCCGGAAATATTGAAGATCCCTTTTGAGTGTCTGACACTTTTTGATGGATTGATTTGGTTGCACAGCTTGCAGCGTTTCTTATTGCAGGGTGTGCTTCCATTATTTGTGACATCATAATCAGAAGGAAGTTTCCTACTGATTAGTTTATTTCTGAGGTTGGGGGGTTGTCTGAAAGCCAGTATTGGGTGTTGCTGGAATATTTCTTTCAGAGTTCCATCCCCTGTTATGATGGGTTGTAAATCTTTGATTATTTTTCTTATTCCTTCTAGTGCTGGGTTGTATGTGGTTACTAGAGGTACACGGTTGTTTGTTTTTTTCTCTTTGTACTGAAGTAGATTTTCCCTTCGGGTTCTCAAGGCTGTGTTTATGCTGGTGTTGATAGTTTTGTCCATGTAACCTTTCTTATGGAAGGAGTCTGCTAGTGTCCCGAGATGTTTATCTCTGTCTCTTGGGTCAGAACATATTCGGTGGTATCTGATGGCCTGACTGTATGATGGCAAGTTTCGTGTGTTGGGGGTGGAAGCTGGAACTGTGGAGGTAGTTGCATCTCCACCTCATTGATAAATATACAAGGCTTCCTGTGAATGGTTGAGCTTTTGTTACTGGAAGAGGGCAAGAAATCCCCCATACCACTGCCAGAATACAGTACTGTATACTGAACATAGCTACTGCTATGTACAGTGTATAAAGTTCATCCAGGCCAGCTTGGTTCAAACAAACCATTTATAGCTGGAGTTTACTGGCTTTAATTTTTCTGGTCGAATGCCCTTAAAGGATAACTTCACCTTCTAGGGAAAAAAAATAGCAAAAAAATAAATAACATAGCTTATACAATTCCGAATGAAGCCATATGGTTATTGAACATTATTAACCACTTGCACTCTTGAGGATTTACCCCCCTTAATGACCAGGCCTCTTTTTGCTACCCCCGGTGCTGCACTAATTCAACTGATAATTGTACGGTTATGCAATGCTGTACCCAAACTAAATTTACGTCCCTTTTTTCACACAAATAGAGCTTACTTTCGGTGGTATTTGATCACCTGTGCACTTTTTATTTTTCACGCTATAAACAAAAAAGGACAGAAAATTTTGTAGAAAAACAATATTTTTTACTTTCACCTATAAAAAATATATAGTAAACTCAAAGTTAGTTATAAATTTAGGCCAAAATGTATTCTGCTACATGTTTTTGGTAAAAAATCCCAATAAGTGTATATTGATTGTGAAAGTTATAGTGTCTACAAACTATGGTATAGATACTGCAATTTACGCCATTTTTTTGCTATACAGCACTGCGCTAGTTTAACGGACAACTGCGTGGTCATCCAATACAGTACATAAATTAAATTTATGTCCTTTTTTTCACACAAATAGAGCTTTCTTTTGGTGGTATTTGATCACCTGTGCACTTTTTATTTTGGCGCTATAAACAAAAACATTTTTGAAGAAAAAAAACAATATTTTCTCATTTCAGTCAAAAAAAATATCCAAAAAAACTAAAATTTCGTCATAAATTTAGGCCAAAATATATTCTGCTACATGTTTTTAGTTAAAAAAAATCCCAGTAAGTGTATATTTATTGCTTTGTGTGAAAGTTATAGCATCTGCAAACTATGGCATAGATAATGGAATTTACACAGCATTTACGTTCTGACTGCTCATCACATTTCTTGAGGTGCTAAAATACCAGGATAGTACAAACACCCTCAAATGACCCCTTTTGGAAAGTAGACACCCTAAGCTCTCTGCTGAGTGGCATATTGAGTCCATGGAAGATTTTTTTTTCCACAAGTTTCTGGAAAATGACAAAAACATTTTTTTTTGTCGCACAAGCCATGGGTATTTGTGGAATTACACCCCAAAATACATTCTGCTACTTCTACCGAGTATGGGGATACTACTTGTGTGAGACTTTTTGGGAGCCTAGCCACATACAGGAGCCTGAAATCCAATGACCACTTTGAAAGCCTGAAGGTGCGTAACTTCCTCATTTCACTTCATCACTACCTATCACAGTTTCGAAGGCCCTGACATGCCAGGATAGCAACAACCCCCCCAAATGGCCCCTTTCTGGAAAGTAGACACCCCAAGGAATTTAAAAAAAGGCATGGTGAGTATTTTGCAACTGTGAAACTGTGATAGGTAATCAGGAAGTGTAATGAGGAAATAAAGCCCTTTAAAAGCCTAAAGGTGCTTATTGGATTTTTGGGGTCCTTTACTTGGCTAGACTGACTGCCAAAACGTCTCTCACATGTGGTACCCCCATACGCGGGAGAAGTAGCAGAATGTATTTTGGGGAGTAATTCCACATATACCCATGGCATGTGTGAGCAATAAATAATTTAAGTGACAATTTTGTGTAAAACAAAAAACAAAACTTTTTTTGTCATTTTCCAAAAACTTGTGGTAAAAAAATAAATTCTTCTATTGATTCAACATTCCTCTCAGCAAATAGTTTGGTGTGTCTACTTTCCAACAAGGGGCTGTTTTGGAGGGTGGGGGCATTTTATGCCCAGCATTAGAAGTTTATGCCACACATCACTCACTCTTCTAACCACCTGAAGATTAAGCCTTTTCTGACACTTTTTGTTCACATGAAAAAAATCAGTATTTTTTGCTAGGAAATTAATTTAAACCCCAAACATTATATATATATATATATTTGTTTTTGTTTACAAACTGTTTTATTGTATAAAAGTAGACTGTAAAACAACAGCACATTTTCAAATTATATTTACAGCAAAAACAAGGCACTTTTGAAAAGTACAATACTGAAAAGTATATTAATGTAAGAAAGAGAAGAAATAGAAAAGAGTAGAATGCAAGTACATGAAATACGTTAATGATAAGGTAGGTTGAATGATACCTCTGTCAACAGTATATGCCAGTCAACTTTCACTGGAAATGTTGTTAATCATGTAATGTCTATAATCCCTCCATGACTCCCATTTTTTATCAAATAAGTGCATCTTATCCAGTAGGGTATAATGAATGCATTCCATGAGCATTACAGCATCAATTCTGTGTAAAACGGAGGCCAAGGGTACAGCATTGGATCTCCAATGTAAGGCAAATAGACCATAAAGTGGCAATACATATAGTATGTATCAATCTCATAATGGCATCAGAGACCACTGGGATATGAGCCCCCAATAGACAGGTCTGTATAGACAAGCGTACCGGGGTACCCACCAGTGAGGTAGCCACCTCAGATATCTTGCACCAAATCAAAGATATGGTCGGGCAATCCAAAAAATATATGAACCAAAGTACCTGTGAGGCCACAGCCCCGGAAACATAAAGGGGACGCTTGTGGGAACAATACATGTAGTCTTGATGGGGTATAATACCATCTGGTTAGAACCTTAAGGGCCGTCTCACGAACAGAAAGAGATCTAGAACACTTACATATGTTATCCACCATGAAATCCCAATGCTGAAAAAGTGATACCACTATCCTCCTCCCATTTTTGTCTGTATAAAGGGGGTGTATGAAAAAGACAGATCAAAGATTGGTGATAAAGATCAGAAATAAGACCCCTACCCCTAGGAGAGTCACGGCTGGTACGTTCAAAAAAGGAAATCAGAGAAGATGGTATAAGGCCAAAGTGTGAATTAAAAAAGTGTCTAATCTGTCGGTAACGATGGTACTCACGAAGAGGAACATCAAAAAGCTTGCTCAGCATATCAAAGGTAATGTAAGATCCTCCTCTTTAAAAATCAGATAATCTGAAAAAAAGATCGATCATACCACCAACGAAACGTTTGAGGAGAAGAAAAAGCTGCAATAAAAGTAGGATCACCAAGAAATGAAATACCCGGGCGAATAAGAGAGACCAGATTCAATTTAAATTTGTATTTGGACCAAAGTATCAGTGAAAGGGTCACTATGGAGTTATGAAAAGTAAGCGATCAAGGGGAGATTTTGGACCACAAAATAAATAGAATGGGCATATAGACTGAGATTCAAACTTGATCCATATGATCTGAGAGTTAATAGTTGCCTATTGTGATAGTTGCGCAAAACGAGCTTAGAGGTAATATAGCCAAAAACTGGGAAGACCAAGACCTACCATCCGTTGTGAGCGGTACAAAATAGATGAAGCAAAACGTGGACGCTTATTACCCCAGATAAAATTGTTAATAGTCCGCTGAAAGTGATCCAAAAACGTTTTCGAGACCGGAACTGGAAGTGCTCTAAAAAGATAAAGTAGTTTAGGCAAAATATTCATTTTAACTGCCGTGACTCTACCCAGAAAGGAAATAGGGTAACCATGCCAAATCTTCAATAGAGTAGAGAGACATGATACACATGGTGGATAATTAGCAGCAAACATATCCGAGTATCTGGGAGTGAGATTAATACCTAAATAGGATATCCAATCCGTGGCCCAACGAAATGGAAAAGAACCACGGAGAGATGCACTTAGGGAATCAGGAACATTAACAGGCACAACCACCGATTTGGTAACATTAACAGTAAG